GTGTAAAATGGATACTTCCCATCCAGCACGAAGGCCACGGAAATAGGACGGAATGGTCGGCAAGGAACTTCCCCTTGATCCATGTAGACTGGAATCTCTTGTTCTATCATTATAAATTTAAAACAAATTATTTTTCAAAAAATGTAGTAAAATTTTATATGGCTAACAGTATGAAATATGCAGGATCCTATGGTTCATCCATTAAAACGCGTCATTTCACTGTTGAATTTGCTTTCAATAACCCTGCCTGTCAACGTCTAAAGTTTTCAAAACGTTTTTAATTTTGAAAATCGGTGAAGAATTATAGACCCGGTTCAAACCCGACATGAACACCCTTTACAGCTTGCACCAAATAATTTTGGAAAAAATTACGCATTTTTAATAAGTGAACCATAAACAGTTAAGGGAATTGAAGATACCGTCAAGTTTGTCAAGTTTCATCCTTTGTATTGGTATCATCGAAATATCTGTTTGTTCAGGCTGCAAGTGTTTGGGAAGGTTCGTCGTACGTCCAAGTTTTGCAGGACGGAGCTGATTCAGGAAGTCGAACGAGGCACTGAAAGAAAGGAACCCATTTGTAAAAAGTTTTCATGAAAAGAATGACTATTTAAAATGTCAAAGGTTGGGATTGGCCTTTATATTGAAACTCTTTTCTCAATAAGAAATACAAACATGCAAAAAAAGAATAATTTTAATGCACGAAACATTAACACGCTGTGATTTCCGCAGGGTTAATAATGGAGTACACGGGCTTCACCCGAAGTAAATACAGCTATGTATGTATGTGCTAACCCCAATTTGCATGAGTATACATGAGTGAAAATTTATCCCAAATATTTATTATTTCCTTACTTTCGGAACGACCTATTCTCTGCCCCTGGCCTTTGAGCCAGTTCGATCCGGTTTGCCATGCCGGATTTCTGCTCAATAATTAGAAGGAAGATCAGCCGTGGTAAAATAATTATTTTCATTCTGATCGGAAATTTATGTTCGTGCAACCCTGATGGTAATGTTGACACTTCCGTGTTCAGCGTAAAAATGAATTCAAACTAAACCGTTGTTCACGAATGTAGGAGTTTATTTGTTTACCATCTATGTAGACAACAATAGATGCTTGTATTATTATTATATATCTAGTTCTTTTCTAACAATTGGTAAGCAAACCAAGCTCATGCTCAACCCATATTATTTTTTGGCCAAGCTAGTTTGAAAGAGCTACTATGTACGTATTTAGAAACTATATTTAGCGCCGCACTTGCGCATAGGTGCAAAAAATTCAGCACGTTATGGGCGCCACAAGTTCGCGAACACAACACGTGCACGCACTCTGCTGCTGTAGGCACAGATTCCGCTAGGAAACAGGACGTTTCCGTGAAATTCTGGTCTTCAAAAAATTAAACAACTGTAAATAAATAATTGTGGTGAATTTTTCGTATCTGCGCAAGTCAACGACCAAATGTTGCGTCTGAGAAGATGCTCTATCAAGTTAACTTATGCAGATTTTTTCTTTTGATTTGCGACATTTTAATAAACTTCAGTAAACAGTAAATTAACGTGGTAAAAACATAATCTGGTGGGGGTCGCCATTGTTAGTAAAGCCTAGTAGTCTGGACTAATTTTTCACTTAAATATGTAAAGACTAAAAACACCTACTAAATAAATACATGGTGGTTTAACAGTCACGCTACAATAAACAAATTTTTTGAATGGGAATATTTTGTAAATTTCCATTAGTTACGAAATTTTGTCTGTGAAATCTAAAATTTGAAGAATTGTGTCATCAATGTTCCATCCGTTTTGATAATAATAATTAATGAAAATCTCAATCCCAAAATTGTTGCCAATAGAGATTTAGAGAGTTTTCCCGCTGAAAAATTTTCCATTGTAGCGTAAGAGCGTAACATTTAAACCACCCTCTACGTTGAGAATTAGTTATCACTGTTTTGAGTCAATGAATAAACACATTTCATTATTAATAACAACTCGCATGACCTGCATTTTACTTTATATTGTTTATTAATACAAATTCAAACACAATTAGTAGAGTAAACACATTGTTGATTTCCACTTCAGTCCTCCCCAGGAAGTCAGACTCACCTCATCCCTCACATTGCCAATACACATTTTTGTATATAATGAAAACGTGCAAGGCTCTGCTAATCTTTCTTCTCACAGTGCATCAGAAGTATTCACTGTCAAGTCGTATCGAACTAGTCTCAAGCAGATGGAATCCATTCGGAGGAGCCGAAACGTACGTGTAGCAAGCTGCTAAACAGAGTAGAAATTGACTTGGGTGCAATTTATAATTTGAGCAATTTACATATGTAGATAAATTATTGAAAAAGGCTGAAAATACCATAAAACCATTCAGGAGAAATGTTTTGAATTTTTGTACTTTTTTCAAAATGATATGATTGCATGCATGAACATATTTTGTGTGTGTATGAGGAAATGTTGGATTGTAAAAAACAAGATGTATCAAATTTTGGTCTGCAAATTGTTTCCAAATGACTAAAAATGAATCTAAATTATAATACATACGAGATTGAATACTGAAACAGAGGTGAAAAAACAATCTCTAGAAAATAGTGTCATCGTGTCAAAAATCTCATAAAAATGTACTCCCGAGTCAAAGTACACCTCGACCAAGACAAAATCACATAAAAATGTACTACCGAATGAAAGTAAACCTCGACCAACTCAAAATCAGATAAAACTGCACTACCGAATGAAAGTGCACTTCGAACAAGACAAAATCAGATAAAAATGTACTACCGAATGAAAGTACACCCCGACCAACTCAAAACCAGATAAAACTGCACTACCGAATGAAAGTGCACTTCGAACAAGACAAAATCGGGAAACAATACACTAACGAATGAAAGACTATCCCGACTACCCGTGGGGAAATTTGCTATCCCAAAACCCACGAAAACTCCTTCATGGATATCCTGTCTATATATGTGTTGAAGTGGTTAAAAGTACGCGCATCAACTCGAAAATCTGAGGAAATTAAGCCTCGACAACTCGAAACTTGTATCGACCACCATTGAGCAGTAGACTTCAAATTATTGCTAAAGGCCGACACAAGATAATTGGAAATTTGAATAATTGTTCTTTGTTTGGATTTTACAAGTTTGCATTTAACTAACTCCAATGAATTACAAAAGGCGTTAGGACATGGTTTTGACGAATTCATACTTTAATTGCGGGATGGTTTTTAGTCGTAGAGATTTCTAACTTGTTTTATGTGAAAGCCCATGTCTCAAACTATAGGTAAGCATATCTGGCTTCCGATTTTGTGTACTCTGCGAAATGAGGCAAGGTCAAATTTGGAGAGGTGTCCTTTTTTAGTTTTCCAAACCAGTGTTCTTATAAAATGACGTTGAACTAAATATTTTTTTCTTAGGTCCTGATGCAAAAATCGTCTTTGCGACTATTTTTAAGGGACTTAGCATGCTTTTCACTATATAAAACCACGTTTGCCTTATGCGTATCTTTTAAGTCCGTTTTGCAGTCTAATTTCATACTTGTCTTAATGGAATGCGCTCTTTAACGCAACTCTTCCACTTTTAAGGCCCCCACATTTTACGACTTTGATGCTAAAAATCCCTAACGTGGTTTTTATCCAAGGTACATATAGTATATTGCACTTGAAGTACTTTTGACAAAATTTTGATAAGTGGTTATACCCCACGGACTGAGTTTTCATCAGACCTTATAAAATTTTTGGAAAAGTTCCCGTCGTTTTCGATGTCGAACTTCAGAAATAATTTAACTAACCAAAACGCAATAATTTTATTATTTTGTCACTTGTACCTTGTAGATAAAATAGTTCTGCAGTAGGGGACACAAAAAGATTAGTAAAATTTATTTTCTAAAAAATTTGACCATTAATTTTCCAAATAAGTTCACGAGTTTTTTGGGATTCCGCGACAGCTGATTAGCTAGGGTCGTTCTCCAAAACTGTTTACACAAAATCTTCACTGTTTAATTTAATATTATTTGGGACACTTAGAGCTTTGCCCTCAATCTTCATTTGACCGAGTGGGTCCGCTTTCAAGGTCAGCAGGTCAATTTTCCTGTGCACGGTCCGATTTATCAATTTTCATGAAAAAGTATCAGCGACGATGGAGGCCCAACGTTATGTAATTGATGTAGATTCTTTTATTATTACATGCAATGATTATCTAGGGTTGTAATATTAACAATCATTCACCTCTGACCTCATAGGTTATCATGCTATATGAGAAATTCAGTTTGGAAAGTGTTTTTTGGCTCCTTCCAACTCTGGGGGCACTGGAGGGGGCATTTATAAAGCTATCGGCCTAAAATTTTAAATATATTTTTTTTAGAGTATTATCTTGCAACTGACCAAAAATCAGTTCAAAATTCAACTCCCCGCCAGAGATATTCACCCGCAAATTCGTCAAAACCATGTCCTAACGCCTTTTGTACGCGATGAAATTCTCAAGAATGAAAAAATAACTACCGTAAATACTCTATTTATAGCCGAGGCTAAAATCCAAAACTAAGGGTCACGGACCCGGCTACAATTAGAGACCCGGCTAAATTTGGTTCCGCACAAAATTTTATGTTACAAGATTATGCTCAATCAGTTTGAGGTTCCTTATTTAGCAAGATATGCCATCAGTAACCAATTCACTTTAAATCTTCGACTTTAAACGAGGTTTAGCAGTTTTTTTTATATTTTCTGTCATGATTATATCCATTAATAACTTCAAATTGATAGGTAAAAATTAGTAGGTCACCTTATTCTTTGATTAGCATAATGTGCAACATTTTTATTTAATGGGGAACACAGCGGACAAAACAGGCCATAATTAGAGACCCGGCCAAAATTATGGACCCGGCTATGATTAGAGACCCGGCTATAATTTTGAAATCTTGGTCCCTAGACCCGGCTATATTTGGAGACCGGCTATAATTAGAATAGGGCTATAAATAGAGGTTTTACGGTATGTACATGAATCAACCGATTTAGAAATTACTTTACCACGTGATTTATTTGACCAGAACTTTTCTGTACGGCACAAATACACGGAGACCTGGGGAGAACTAATTACCCAAACCACATTCCAGCAAGGTGAATATTTTCCCGCTCAAGTGACGAACAATGGACACGTGTTTAGCCTTGAATTGAACCCACTCCATCCGCATTTCCAGAAACTGAAAGAAAATACGAATTATGTTGAATCATCGATGAAACAACACTTTTCAATATTTGTTCAATATTTATACTTCAATAACAATTTTATAAAATTTATTTAGTTTAGCATTAAAAAAATTTACATCTTTATCCGCCCACTGGCGCAACTGGGTGATGAATTTTTCCTTAATTTCTTCTGCGGTAGTTTGATCCTCAGGATTTGACAAGACACTGTTCAGTTGCTGGTCATAGATATCCTGAAAAACACAGATTAATATTAAATTCGTTTTTAGAAATTTGGAGTTTTAAAGTTCCAGAAATGAATTTGAGAACAAAAGATTGTACAAAAACTACAAAAACATTGATGCCCCATTACCGTAATTGGGATTACAGATATTAAATGTAGACTAGGAAATATTGTGCTACGACTCCACGAAAATGGCAGTTATAAATAGCACGATGTATCAATACACGGTGCTATTACATACTAAATTTAGTACGTATGTATGTAATAGCTCGGTATTAAAGATTTTTCATATGTATCAGTAGCAAATTTTGACGGTCTGTTGTAATTTTATCACAAAGGGGTAGTCACATTGATACCGACAAATATCTGGCTGATTTCCAAAAGTGTCATGGAATTCTAACCACAAATATCTATATACATACGTAAATACTTTATAGAGACTGGGGACAAGCATGATCTATCACTTACATATAATTTGAAGAACATAACTTATAATTACAAGCTTTCAGTAATTTTCATGAGACTAGCGAAATCATGCAAGTCTAACATGTCTACATCAGTGTTTCGCTTTTGCCGGCTAAAATCGTTTTTTGTTGGCCAGTGGTCAAAAGTGGTCAAAAGTGGCCGAAAGTGGCCAAAATGGTAGAAAATGGTCAAAAGTGGTCAAAAGTATTCTATTGGCTAATGGTCTGCGCGGCGGGTTTAAACAGACTCTCGGCCGGTATTATTTATTCTTTGCACAAAAAATAACCATAGTTCTTACAAAGTAATTAAAATAGTCTGTAATAATTACTAATCTAATAAATTCAACTTGGACAAATACAGTAAGTAATGTATACATTTGCTTGATACTTGAATATTTTAATGGCTCATTGGTCAAGTCGTAACTATTCCTGTGTCAATTATTAATGATGCAATTTGTAATTTATTGCTTATTTGTAGAGATAAAAACCAATTTTAAAATTTTAGATCCAATCAAACAGCGATAAGGAGCCTACAACTTGTTCTGCTAGATCCTGATGAAATCCTGAATGTCCTTAGTAAAATCATTAACTTATCATTATTCATTGTCGCAGAATGCCCCATTTTTGCATTTTGACCACTTTTGGCCACTTTTGACCATTTGCCACCTTTTTTGGTAAGTGGTCAAAAGCCACTTTTGGCCGCTTTTGACCGGCGGTCTGGCCAATCCGGTTATTGCCAAGCGAAACACTGGTCTACATACATATTTAGAGAGCCGAGAAAAAGTATTGAGATGCTAGGAAATTGTACCTGTAATAGGTCAAAAAATTATCCTAAAAATTCCACATTTTAGCATAATATGGTATTGATTGGGAAATGGTTAAGCGTGATGGAATTTATCACGTGTCCACTTGATTAACATTGCGAGCGGGCGGAGATTCAAATCAAATCCATCACGCTTAACCATCTCCCAATCAATAAATAGATCTGCGCATGTTGATATGTATCTAAATATTGATAAGTAAGATATCTTGGTAGCCCACTTACATCCGGTGCATCCAGTGGATCGGGTGAATCCTCCGGTGCGTCGGGCACATTCGTATCGTCATCCGGGTTACTTCCACCCGCCACCGATTCGGATCTAGTCCCATGCCCGCCAATTCGCACTTCACCCCGTCGAAATGATGCCGACTGGACGGCCCTACTTTTCCCAGACGCATCAGTGGCACCTGAACTACTCATTTTTTCTTCAAGTTTCACACTTATTTTTTTCTTTGTTTTGAAATTGGTCAAAATTCCGGAAATCCGGTCACCAAGTCGGGCCGAAATGTTTTTCTTTCTGGTCATAATTTGGTACTTGTTCGGTTGGTTGTACGCGCCGAGCTACAAATACACGTAGTCAAAAGTGGGTTATGTTTAATGAAAAGAGTCAATCTAGATAGATACTTATATATTTAAATCTACACGCTAATTAATTTTGAGAAACATTGTCACCCATGGAGCTACTATGGTGCTCTATTTTTGAATAATGATTGTGCACGTAGATTTTGATGTTCATATGTAGCCACAGACGGAATATAAGTAACGAAAAATCGTGTAGCAAAATCTTCTTCACAAATTTACTCAACAAATTCACCGACAACATTTGTATACGCTAACATTATTTCTCTAGCAATTGACTAAATAGGGTGCGAAAAATAAGCAGTCGAACACTTCCACATATGTAGAACTTACTTTAAACTCTTTCAAAACTTGGGTCCACGTTTGATCCTGGTTGAACGTTTTGCTGTGGGGTCCCCGCTTTTTACCCTTTTTGATAAAATAGCAATGTAGCTTAACGGAAACGTTGTGATTGTTTAACGCCATATTTAGTTTTAATTTCGTTTAAAATGCGACCAATTTTCATAACTTGGTACAAAATCTGCTGCTCACGAAGTATCGAAGCTGACACCCAGTAATGCGGTCAGTACATAAATGGGTCACATATTTACATACTTTGATGCATATGCAAATCCGCTGTAGTTAGACAAGTACGTACATATTTATATATGCAAAACCTTATCCGTACCCTTATCACTAAATGGAAAATGATAATCCATTTCTTGATTAGTTATCATGCATCAGGACTGGTATAGTATTTACACTTACAAGTACCTACATATGTACATAAATGCAACGGGGTCTTCTAAACAACATAATATGTTGTCCACATCACATACTTATTATGTGATGTGGGTCATTTATCCATCATACCTGTTCAAAAAAAATTCATTCAAACCTCAGTCATCGCGATTTCTAACTTAAGATTTTCATTCACACTCAGGAGGAGAGCTTCACCACCTGCCCTTCACAGATCTCGATGCCCTTTGGATATGTGGTAGGGTCCTATGAGTGTACTATAACCCTGAAGTGGTTTGACTCCATGGCCACATTTACGCCCGCCACACCCACTCAAAGGGATGAAAACCACAAAAGTTACCAACTTCAAAAATCCACCAAAAATCCAATTTTAATCGGATTTTGATAAAATTTACATTTTTGTAATCCCAGATACTTGTTTGATCATATCCAGTAGCAATCGCAACTTTTTTGAAATTTTCGAAATTTTCGGGCTGACGAATTATTCGAAAAAATTAAAAATTTCAAAAAAGTTGAGATTGCTACTGGATATGATCAAGCAAGTATCTGGGATTATAAAAATGTAAATTTTACCAAAATCCGAGCAAAATTGGATTTTTGGCGAGGGTTTGAACAAGTGAAAACAGGGCTTTTTTCGTGTTTTTGGCGCCTTTGAGTGGGTGTGGCGGGCGTAACTGTGGCCATGGAGTCAAACCACTTCAGGGTTTTAGTACACTCATGGGACACTACCACATATCCAAAGCACATCAAGATCTGAGAGGGGCAGGTGGTGAAGCTCCCCTCCTCAGTCATTTTCTTTCAAACGAAATTTCACTTCACTTGTCATTTATCCATCATTTCTGTTCAAAAACAAAATTTCATTCAAACCTCAGTCATCCCGATTTCAAACTTATGATTATCATTCACACTCATTCATTTCACTTCATCTGACTTCATTTTTGACTTCGCCCCATGTGCTAATCAAATGCGGCATGCCTACACTGGTTAGGACATACATACTCATTTTTTGTGCGATTTGTTCAATGTAAAAATACTTGCATAAAAATGTATGCATATCAGTTTCAAAATATATTTATTGGTTGGACCCATTACACATTGCCTGATCGATCATGCACTACATAAATTCGTTCACTGACGACCGGAAATTTTTTTATTTCTGCTAAGCAGAAAGTTTCAACATTTCAAGGGTTTAGGTAATTAAATATTTATTTACCAGTTTGGTTATTACGAACGAATATTTTCATTAACGAAAAAATACCCAATATTCGGTTAATACTTAAATTAAATTATAGCCTGTTGTCAGAAAAGAAATTCCACGAGGCAAAAAGGATAATGGGTGATTTAATATTTGGAAAAATATATCTACATATTTACATATAAACAGTTTAAGCTACATGTACATACATATGTATGTAAGTCAATGTGTACATTCAATTATGGAATAATTTAGATACATACATACGACTTTGAATTAAATACATAAATATTTCATTACATCCACGAGGCATTTATTTTATTTTATCTACCTACATCGTCCGTCACCAGTACAAGCTTTCTAGATTGGTAAAGTTCTTAAAAATATAGACTTAACCCCACTCTTAAAATCTTAACTTTTCACAATTTAAATCATGGAAACACCTGCTTTATTAAACTGTTTGAAATCTTATGCCAACCTGTTTCAGAATATTGCCCCCATTCCGATTAGTTGGAATACCAGCAAAAGAAAATGCGTTTATTGCCTGAACCACCGTAAACTTATCTTCTTTTATATCGAGCTCTGTATCGGATTCTTGGTAACTTTTTCTTGTGGGTATGCCAGCTTGAAAGCCCTTTTCCTTAAGGGTGCCAACATCCCCTTGTACAGTTCCATCTATAATGCTTTTTACGCCTTAATGGCTGGAGTTTTGGGGTGCGGCGGTAGTTTGTGCGCCTTGTTTTACGGTCATCCCTTAGCGCAGGGTTGGGACAATTGTGTCATCCTGGAAAGAACGAGTCGGTCTTATGTAGGAAAAAAGTTCGTGGCAAAAAGACGCCCTTATTATGATTTGTGGTTCTTCTTACTGGAAATGGAGATCTTTTATTATACTCCGATACTCTGTTTGATCGGAAGCTTCGTCGAGGTCGTGACGAAGCTCGATCTGTTCTACTACATTCTGCAGGATATGGTGCCAAAAATGTATATGTAAAACTTTAAAAACAATGTTCCCCTTATGAAAAATTAATGAACTCTTAACTTTATAATAAGTAAACTAAACTAATAATGGGCAGGTGTGAGATAGTCGTCTTCGATTTTGACCGGACTAATTTTAAATTGTTCGCGTTCAGAAATGAGCGAACCCGTATTATTTCTGCATTTGTCGAATACGAATGTTGTCGCATGGGGTTTAATTTTTTAATGTATTTTAGGCCATGACAAGTATTTTTAAAAACTTTGTCAACTTGTGAATTTTAACCAGATTTCAAAAGTTAAACATAATTTTTGCTCAGCACTATTTACTTGAAGTTAAAAAATTTATATTTCTTGCATACTTTTAATTTAAAAAAAAAATTGACACTATCATTTTTCATGATTCAGGAACAGCATCAAAATGTTTAATTAAATTTTAATTTCATATTAAGTTCAGGGTAAAGCTTCCTCTGGATCGAGTTACCGAAATTTGAACAAATTAATGAACGTGGAATTGAGAGCGCTTTACTTAAAAAAACTAGAATTGTTTTTAAACTTGTAATAAATAATTTCAGAGTATACAGCCAAAACTGGGTGAAGATTGGCATCCTCCGTTACGTCCTTCTGGCCATAAATTTCTTTCAGCTCCTAAGAATGACCAATTTGGCAGTAATTATAGTCAGCGCCTTAGGACAGCTTGCCCTAGTCGGGATGGAAATTCTACAGCGTGGAAATTTATCAACGGCATCCGGATTTAAAGCGTATAACATGTGGAACACGCTATTATTGTCGATGCAAGAATTCACCGACGTAATAGCGGCCTGTCTTTTAGCAACTTTGCAAGTGGTCGGAATCTTGGCATGGTATTTAACACTTGCTGGATGGGAAATTATGCCATTTTTTGTCTATGGCTTTTTCCCAGTTTGTGCCGCCGTGGTACCGGCCATTGTTCAAGTTACTTTTGTCCCGTTTACCAAATTGTGGGATGGAAGTAAGGAATGGATCAAGTCGATGAAATTGGCTCCACTTTCGATGAGAGTTGGAGAAAGGAAGTTTGTAATGAAGAAGTTGTACACATTGAGACCTTTGTCGGTTTATGCGGGAATATTGGATCATAGATTCTTCCCCCTAAGTAAATCAACCAAGAAAAGGTTTATCGAAGAAATGATTTCATTCACGATTGAGGTACTTCTCGCGGCTCCATCTTTGTCAAAATATTAAATAACAAAAAAGAACTCTTGGTTTGGAATAAACCGTCGTAAACGCACATAAGGAAGTAGCTTCAGACTACTTCACCCCAAACGGTCCCACGACATCGCGGGAATACTTAACCACTTCACCCCTGAGAGACGGATATTTTCATACCTTTCACCCCTAGTAACGGCGAATTTTTTCTTCCCTTGACCCCGAAATTTTCACCTACTGCATGACGTTAATTACTGGGAGATGAATTGAAAAATGGTGTTCCCACCGGAATTATTCTGGACACTTTTTTATGAAAGTTGATGCGAATAACCATTTGGGAACGGATTTTGAGTTGTAATTTGCCTTTGTGCATTTTTGCGAACGACTAATGTTTATAGCCGAAAATAGCCAACACGCCGAATTAAAAAATGATTGTAATCGCATGGAAAGTTGCACAAACATTGATTATTACGTGCATAATAGTACATATATTTGCAAAAATCGATTATCGCGCGTCAAGGGCTATAGAAGCCGATTTTGGCGGGAAAATTAAACATAGCAAATATGGCTTTCAATTCGTGACATCGGCTATAAATAATTTTGTGATTAGACTAAAATGTGTAAAAATTGCTTCTTGTACATCTAACATGCATAGAATTTACGCATACTTAGGGCGGGAAAACAAACGTTTTCCTACAGTGGCTTTAAATTGATAGCACTGGTAATGAATAATTATAGCATCAACCGTTCGAAACCATACTTTAGCGCATTTTGAATATAACTCAATTTTAACGGGAAAATTATATGCTTTCTAGGTAATCTCTTAATTTTCCCGCCCAACGAGATTTCATCGGCTACAGTGGTTAGTTTTCCAGCCAAAAATGTCGGTGGGGCGTTCTAAATCCGAGAAAAACAATTTCACTAATTTAATCTGAAAGCGCTGTTGAAATATGGGACAAAAATTCCATGCAACAGCAGTTTTCAAAACTAGGCGTGTTAGCTAGAAATAGCCAGTTGGCTATAAATTATTTTTACCTCCCTTTATAATATTGGTTCCGAAGAGGCAATTCGTCTTCCCGCCCAAATGGCGGATTTTTGACTCATAACTATACTTGGAAGAGCAATGCCCTAATTTTTTTTTCTGGATACGACACATAGTCGTATGCCGGTGGGAACGGAAAATACGCCACATAGTCGTTCCCGTTGTCAAGGGTCAATACGACACATCGTCGTATTTCGGAGCCAAGGGAACTTACGCCACATGGTCGTATTCGGTGTAAAGGTCAAATACGCCACATAGTCGTTATAGGGGCGAAGTGGTTAATTTCGCTGTATTTCATCTATAGATTCAATTTTTGAAAAAATCTCATTTTTCCCCGAACACACCCCTCGGCGCCCAGTGGGTGTGGCACAACTTAAGAACATTTGATTTTAGTATAGTTCTTCTATGGATTCAATTGCACTAAAAATCTCATTTTGCCCCGACCACACCCCCTGGCGCCGGTGGGTGTGGTCCGACCAACCCCAAAAGTTGATAGGATCCTTCCCCTTGGGTCATATATATGATGTCGAAAACCGATTTCGATTATCTAGATCTGTTCTCCCGTTATCCTGCTGACAGACAGACAGACAGACAGACGGACAAAGTCTTCGCATAAAGTAGCTGAAGCTACTTAATAATATACATTTCAACAATAAGATAAGGTCAAATAGTAATCAGAATGTTTGATGGAGTGGATATATGTAAAAACCTTATAGTTTTTGAATTTATGTAATTCTTCGAACAGTTTGAGACTCATTTTAAATACATCGATACAAGAGGAGTGTCTAATAAATATTTGCATATGTATCAAAGAAATTATGGGAATACAATTATTTTCTTAAATTAATTTAGCACACTGGAAATTTTTTTAGCCCAAGTTTTCCACTTTGCCATAAATGGGGTTCTCCCCAATTCCCATTCTGCTTGTCCAAAAACAATCAAAATTTCATCCAGTCATTGAACTTTAATATATTCATAAATTAAGCTTGGACGGAATATCATATTCCGAATATGCATGATGAATCATTTTCCCAACCGATAACACGTTTTTCGCACGTTGTTACCTGGTGCTGGTGTACAGCAACACTGCGTAAAATATGGATACAGCGAGTAGACATCCCGACACTGCATGTACACCAATCCACACATAACTAGTTTGATATCTTAATTTGTTACAGCGAATCGATGAATCAGAAACAAATTAAGAGTAACACAACAACACAATATGTACGAACCGTGTGCATATCACGGCAATTTTGCATTTCGAAGCCATTTTTGCATACACGTACACAAATATACTGCATATTTTTGTATGTAAATATCCAAACTTGCGATATTATGTACAAATTAAGTTACACACTTAGAAATCCAGTATTAAAATGACACCAATCATTAATCCTTTAATGTATGATGCAACAAAAGTGATAGAGATAACTTATCTCTATCATGAAACATGCAAAAAGGCATCAAAAAGGCAAAAATGCACGCAAAAAGGCTGATAAGCATTGAAAAGGCATGAATAAATAGCAAACAGGCTGCCTTTTTTCACAGTGGAGATAAGCAGTAATTGGTTCATATTAAGGGTTTGCCGTGAATTTTACATGTGTAGCTGTATAATTTTAAAACCAAACGGTTGCAGGCTTAACACCGGTAAATCTATACTTGCCTGGCTTGGCCAGGTTTATTTATTAGAGTGTATGTAAACAATTGAGTCATATTTGTGGTGTTGTGTGAATAAAGAATGCAGGTGTGTGGTCTTGTCATGCCCTGTGCGTGAAGAATGTGATCAAATTTATTTCAGATGGTTAACGATACCGGATTAAAGACGATGTTTATATCCATGCTTATTTTACTTATTTAGTGAATATGTAAATATTTATTTAAATTCATATGTACATACACTCTTAAAAATAGAGTAAAATTTTTAAAAAGTACGACTTCAGTTAACATTGCCTGAACAAAGAGCTAAGAATTTAGTGAGCATGAATCTCAGAGTGCATTTGCTTGTCAAAAGTTCTACATTATTTTTAAGTGTGTATTTACATACAAATAACGTAATCAAATCTTCGATAAACCAAACAAACAAAATCCAACTGTGTCTACTCGGGGTGTAAATTTTCGCGAACTATTTATGGTCACATTCTTTATGCATGGCCACCTTCTATTCCTCTGTCCGAACCAAACCCATGATTGAGCATCGTTTCAAATGTCAACCACAATTTATCTTGGACACGCTGTTATCTTATTTGTCATGCGCTTATCAAAACAAATTGTGTAATATTTTTACCCATCCAACAATTCTTACCCTCAGACAAAGATTAATGCTCGACTGAAGTCCAGGTGGATTCGTGCTGCCACGTATCCCAAAATTCCGATTACACAATTCTTACATAATTCTCACATTCTTCCATAATGCAGCACGAAATTGTGGAAATGCAAGGTTTTTGCATAATTTATAATCAACTAGGTATTCCTTTAAGGTGTAAATATCGGAAGAAATAAATATTTGTGTTATTGTTCAATAGGTAAACTCAACTTGAATGGAAACCTTGAAACTAAGGAGGAACACGATTTCATGGACAAAGCATTAAGCGATATCGTGGTAAGGATAAAGCTTATAAACAGTTAGAAATCTGATACTTAAAATTACGATATTAAGATATTTGTTACTCGGTATTCAATTTGCTACAGACTAGTAAAAAAAGTATAGATACCGGAAAGTACAGTAAGCAAAAATTTAAATCGTACCCTTATATCATATGCATTTTTCGGTTTTCCTTACCGATAATGAACCATTAATTAAAAAGTAGAGGAAAATTGAAAATCGATGCAAAAAATTAAATCGTACCCTTTTGGGTTTTTAATGATAATTATGTCTAGTAATTAGTTCTTGGCACTTTTTCGGGCCTCGGTTTGCTTTAATTACAGATTGGACATACTGTGACATGAATTCTACTAATTTTTTTGGTCACTTCGGGTAAGATATTTTCCCATACTTCACTTATAATGACTTCAAGGCAAGTTTCGACTTCGGTTTTCGTCTGGAAATCCTCCCCTCTAATTATGCCTATAAATAATCGATGGGGTTGAGGTCCATAGATCAGGCAACCCATAGAAGAGCATAAAGTCGTTCTTGCTTGAGGTACCGATTAATAACCTTCGCGTATCTTTGGGGTCCCCGTCAAAGTGCAAAATTATTTTCATTATGAGTCGCAATTTCCTGGCTGGACATACTTGGATTAGCTCTAAAATTGACTGCTACACTCCCTTGGTTATGATTTACTCAATAACGTTAAAGTTCCTCCACAATTTCCAAAATTTTAAGCCCCAAACCATCACAATTCCTTGACTATGGTACACGATCTTATTCATACATTGGGGTTTACGGACTTCTCCAGGTTTCCTCGTCATCCCCACGATTGAATTTAATCTGAACATGTTGTACTTGCTTCTATCATTCTGAACGACACGTTTGCAGACATTCAGAATCCTTGCGCTGTAGTCCTAGGCCCATTTACGGTGATACGCCGCATTTGACAAACGAAAGAATGGCTTATTGGTCGAATTTCGGCCCTTAAACTCCTTTTCTGAAATCTGGCTTATGATGCTTGAATGGAAACTGTTCTGTTGAATTGATCTTACGGTTCAGATGCAATTTTCGGGGCCGAAAGTCCTCAGTTGGTCAAGATCTTGCTGATTAGATTTCGATGCTCGCCCATCGTCATTGCCATTTTGCGTCCGCGTCAATGGAAATTACCCAATTATCCAGTTTTCTTGCATGTTTGGACAACGAATTGGATAGCCGCCTCCTAAAACTTCGTCCCCAATGTAATTTTGCAGTAGGATTGTCCTTTCTTATTCATCAAAATAACCCTTTTTCATTCCACAGAATATTGCTATTTTCGGCTCATTTTACAAGATGTATAGCAGCATCAAAGTCAAAAAATTGAAACCTTTTACACAAATATATTAAAAACTGTATATCAATCGAATTTCAGTTAAGAATTGTTGTTTTTGAGAGTGTGGAATAATGAGATGATCAAAAAACCGAAAGGGTACGATTTAATTTTTTGCATGAATTTTCAATTTTCCTCAACTTTTTAATTAATGGTTCATTATCGGTAAGGAAAACCGACAAATGCATATGATATTCGGGATCTACATTAAATTTCCTACAAAACGGATGTATTACATAGTAAGAATTGATTTACATAAAGTAGAGAACCATTAATTTATTATATCCCGGAAAAGGGTACGATTTAAATTTTTGCTTACTGTATGTTTAAATTTGCTACTCATATTATAAACTATGAGCAACGTATTTAGCTGAGTAAAACCATCACCTTGCAAATTGCGACTGATTTGATGAATGAATTTGTTTCCCCGAAGAGTTTTGTAATAAATTTAGTGGCAATTTAAGTTTAATTGTGGGATGGAAAAAATCATTAAAAAGGCACAATCAATCCGTTCAAGAGGCAAACGAAAATATTACTAATTAATGGCACATTTTTTATCCGCTTTAATAAAAGCCACACTTATTTCTCCCAGATTCTCCAAGAAATCTTCCTCCACCTCGGGGACGAAGGTTGGAGCCAGACCTGCCACGAGGTTCGCAACCTCCGTCTCGTCTCCCCCCTCTGGAACAGTGCGCTCCTCTCTATGACTCCCCCCAAACTCCGCTTCCGTCTCAAGTATAACTTAAACTTTGACATTTTCCGTTGCGCCTACTGGCCCGAACCAGAAGTTCCCGCCTTTCTAGAAATTTGCTCCACCATGGCGCCCAAACTAGCGCGCTCCCTCTTCTTCCAAATGTCCTCGAATGACGAGCAAACCTCCGAAAATTTGCGCCATTTCTTCCAAACCTTTCCCGAACAGCTGGAACACGTTACCGTTCGCGGGGACGAGGACGAACTTGCCCCGTTACTCTATGACATCCTACAAATGGCGCCAAATCTCGTCAGTTTAAATATCATCACGTGCAATCCGACCCATCCGACGACATTCCGCCATCGCCTCTCTCCCCGCTACTGGGACCCCTTTGCGCCCTTAATCCCCATCCAGAACAAGTTGGAATCCGTCATTCTGCACCGGTACACCGCCTCGGATCAAAAATCCCGCCATAACGTCCCCGTCTCCATTTTGGTTCAAGCCATGCTTCACTCCACCCCGAATCTGACCCACTTGAACGTCATGGATTACCAGTGTCCACAGCTTTCTTACTGCACTAAACTCCGCGACCTAACTTTTTTCCTACTCCCGCCCGAAGGCGAGGAAGAAATGTTGCAAAAATTGGAAGATTTTTCCATGGTGTTGAACCACGTTCGGAATTCCCTGGAAAAATTAGAGCTCAACAGCGGTTTCGGATTTCCCACGCAACCGATTCAAACTCATACCGATTCTGAGATCGAAATGGTCGGATTTAATTTACCGGAAATGGGGAAGCTTAACTACTTCAGGAATTATAGGCTCGATATATTTCCATGTTTGGACAGAATTCGAGATTTGGGGGGGAGTAGGTTACCGAATTTGGGGACGTTGCACTTATCGAAGGGGACCGATTACTGGAAACCGCCCCAGGTTCAGAGGTCAATTGAGCCTGAATTGACGGAAATTTTGGAGAAGGAGGCACTTTTTTGCAATTCTGAGGGGGCCGGTGGACTGATTAGGTTGGCGCTGGATGGAATTAGGAATCCCGACCTACTCAAAAATTTAAATAAACCATTCCCGCACTTGCAGCGGTTACACTTGAGGATGGGGGATGTCGCGATGAAGGGAATTCAGAGGGAGGAACTGCTTGGAAAAACGTTGACGGCTCTGGGTCCGATGGGATTAAAGTATTTGGATCTTGTCATCCCGTTTCCGGCCCTTTTTAAGAATTTTGTATCAAGTTTGGCCCTTTTGGAGGCATCGCTCAAAGGTAACTTTTCTTTGTGAATATAATTATACTTAATTTAATTCGACAATTTATAAAGTTTCTAAGAATTTTTACTTACAATGCATTTGTCTCAGTGTTCGCTCTTCGATTTTGGGAAATTTAGTTTTAACCGATCACAAATTTAGTTCATTGTAAATTTGCAAAAGTCAAAATCACTAAATACTCAGGTTTTACAAAAATTTGCGGATAAAACCCTCAGTAAGGTGTAAAATGCGTTAACTTAAAGCTGAATTTTGTCTTCTTTGGATAATAATTAATATAAAAACGCCCAGCTAGATGGGGAGATCTTGCCTTTCGGAAACATAATGCGAATTTAATTTGCGATCAACCAATCTCGTCAAAATCGGAGCGCAAGTGCTGAAAAACCTCACTTGTTGATATGCATAATATCAATTTCGTAACAACAACAATTAAAGTCAGAAACTTGATCTTTCTTTAGACATGAAGACCATGCAGCTCGCCAATTTTGGCGGAGGAACGAGCATAATAACGTACGAGACGGATTTCGACGGGATTAAATCCTTCTGCCACGTGCTCCGCTCAACCGGCAGAATGCAAACATTTACCATTTTCAAATGCTCGGTAAGCTGTAGCAATATGGACACTAGTTCAGAATCCGAAATAATTTGTATTCTTCAGTTCGGCCTGACTGGATATGAAGAAATTGCAAAATTCATGAAATCTAACAACCTCCCGGTCTCCATTCCGCGACAATGTGCAGATCATAATATCGACTACAAGTTTTAGGTCGTTAAGTTGCAAGTTGTTAGACCTTTGTGCAATGTGCGTGTGATTACGTGGATAGCAATAAAATCATACCTGTTCAAATAAACTTTCTTCATTCAAAATTCAGTCATCCCGATTGATGAATGGTGATTTTCACACACATTCAGTCATTTTCGTTTCATTTCACTTCATTCGACTTCATTTGTTACTTCGCCACATTTATGTATTAAGCTTTGGGTGAAGAATGAAGGACTGAGAAATCTTTTCATTCACTGTCACTCATCTGAAATGACAGAATCCTTAAGTCATTTTCATTCAAATCGTAGGGAATTAATTTTCATTCCCTATCATTCTCTGTCGTAATCAGTCACATGAATGAAAGTTAACAGGTACGAATAAAATTATAGACACAAAATTCCGGTACTTTTTTGACGTGTTAAAAATGCACTCTAACTTAGATAATATTAAATAAACTTTACTAACTCCAGAGTAACATTAACCTTGATAAAGAATAAAATGTCGTCTAGATTTTTTGCTGACTTAATTTATTTACAGAACTATATTGATCACATAATTTTTAACAGGGTAAAGTTAATAAAAGACACAAAATACTTGCGAATAGTGCTAATACTTATTATAGAAACCGCAAAATTCTGGGCAAAACGTAAATACAGGGTGGTTAAAATCATATTTAGATCGGATATTTTGCGTACTCCGTACTCCGGCAAATCTCGCGTACTCCGTACTCCGAGTACTCCGGCCTCCGGAGTACGTACTCCAAGCCCGGAGTACTCCGACCCATGGTTAAAATGTCACGCTACAATGAAAAATTTTTCAGTCGGAAAAATTCGCAAATTTCCACTCGTTTCCGAAAGTTTGTCTGAAATTCAACATTTTAAGAATTTTGTCATAAGTGTTCCTTCAGTTTTGATAATAATTAATAAAAATCTCAACCCCAAATCTTCTAACTAATGGAGATTTAGTGGCTTATCCCATTGAAAACTTATCCATTGTACATTTAAATTAAATAAACCATCTTGTACACACATATTTAAGCTCATACATACATCAGCCCATATTTTTCTATGTGCAAACATACATGTATAGCTATTTAACTTAAAATATATTTATATATGGCAAGACAACGAGCTAGTGAAACTTGACGAATGTAAGCAACTAACCATATAAATAGCTTAGCAAAATACAAGGTTTTCTTGGTAATCGATTTCTAATTTGTGCATAAGTCATCCTTGTCCTTTACATTATTTTATTCTTAAATTAAGATACATACGTTGTACATAAATAGTCTTCCGAATAATATTGTGACTTTTATTATTCCGCACTCTAAAAAACACTGTTGCTCTTTTGAAGATTAAATACGCTCCCAGTTGAACCTTTTCTCAAGCTTCGCCCAGATTTTCTTTCTGTGCTAAACGTGAGCATTGGCAGATAGTTCTATATTCAAATTTCACACTAATTACATTTGTGACCGATTGACTCTAGTTTGGTAATAATCTATGCCCATACGTTGGGAGACCTCTATTGTGAGAATGTACATACTCACGTTCCGAACGGATCCATTATCTCCAAGAGTGGACTTTCTGATTAAGGCATCCAGAAATATGTATGCATGGCATTTGCATGATGCATAACTTGTGTTTCGAAGATATATATCTATGTATTTAGTATCGTAAATATGTTCGGATATCAGAATAAACATTAATAATTTATAGCCTGTCAGACATTCCTCGAGATAGAAGGGAAACCCGATATTCTTAGCTTATTAACTCAGCCCCGAATTTGAGCTAATGAAAGCTTATTATGGACTAAATTGGTATTTTTAAGAATTTGCATGGAAGTATATTTGCAGAGCCTAGCTTATTTTAATAAGACTGAAATTAATGGACAATTTATGTAAATGTACAACATGTATATTTCTTCAACGCGACCCGATGTAGATACATAATGCACATATTATAGATATCTACGACCCTCCATTCCTACATTGACAAACTATTTAGTAAGCTGGCAGGTCATATCGTTTTCCAGCTTTCGACCCCTTATCTAAGTAACTGAAATTCAGAATTTTTGGAATTCCCGTCACCTCATCAACGTGGAAAGCCCCGCACTGTTACGCTGTTTACGCGCATATGCAAAACAGTATCAAACCTTCAACCCTATTCCGATTAGTTGGGATCCTGCCAAAAGAAAATTCATCTACTCTTTAAACCATCGAGCCCTGCTCGGCTGGTATTTCCAGCTGTGTGTCGGATTCTTTGTAACATTCTGTTGTACATACAACTGCATGAAATCCATTTTAGTAAAGGACCCCAATATCCCTTCATACATTTGCATACTTCACGCCCTATACGGTGCAGTGGCTTACACGAGTGGCGTCTTCGCTAGCCTGGCCTTCATATTCGTGGGTCCTGACGGAGTCGCGGCTTGGGACAACTGTGTCATCGTTGAGCGGGCTTCACGCGCAGGTGCGGCGGAATCGTGGACGGCGAAATCGTCCCATATTGATCGCTGGTATGCCGTTTTGACGATGATAAACCGTTATTTCCCTGCAGTGTTTTGCCTTTTTGGGAGTCTGTCCATCGTGGTGACGGAGATCGATCCGATGTATTACGTATTTCGGGATGTCCTATCAGCTAATGCGTTTTACCAGAATTGGGGCAAGATATTCGTCCTTCGCTATCTCCTTTTTTCAATCAGCGCATTTCAATTGTCTCGAATAAATACTTTGACAATTATTATATGCAGCGCGTTGGGAGAATTCGCACTAATCGGGATTGACATTTTGCAACGAGGTATGGTAATACCAATCATCATTGTTCACATGGATGAGTTTAGATTTTGAATTTTAAAATGATTATTTAACTATCTTGGTGGTGTATGTATGTATATGAATATAACTATGTATTATGTATGTTGGCTCTGAATGATGGTTAGATGAGATGTGTGTATTTACGATGGGAAAGAATGTTACTTCCATCGGGATTTGTGGAAAAGAGGGTTTATTGTAAGATGGTCGGTGTACCAGTCCACCGTCGAATACCGGATATGTATGAATATACGTGCCTTCACTTTCCCGTTCGGGGAAAGTGTAGCCAAGTTAACATGGGTATTGCATATTATTATCCTTAAGGCATGAGCATGGAGTGAATAATTTTAAATTTTTGAATACATTAGTAATGAATAAGTATTTATTCATTTCAAATTATGTAGTGACTAATTGGTGAACTTTATTCATTATTTCTTGTACGTACATACTAGCAAGTATGCTTAATGAATGAGGTACATTAAGAGACTTGATCAATTTGGCGAATTTGAGTTAAAATGCGTGACATGAATAATGTGTAAATGCTGATGCAATTACACATTAAATTTCGAACACGTGAATAACGAATGAATTATTGTGAATGATGAAATACTTTTTGAACAGGTGGAGTGCCTACTCTGGTAGGATTCAGACTGTACAATATGTGGCACACCTTACACGCTACGACGCATGGATTCGTGGATACATTTGTCGCTAGCTTCTTATCCGTTGTGGAGTTAGTTGGAATTTTATCGTGGTATTTGACCTTTGCTGGGTGGAAAGTTATTCCCGTTGCAGCGTACTAACGAAGATAGATCCGATGTATTACGTATTTCGGGATAGCCTATCAGCTAATGCGTTCCACCAAAATTGGGGCAAGATCTTGGTCTTTCGCTACGTCTTATTTTCGATCAGCGCTTTTCAATTTCTTCGATTAACAACTGTACTAATAATTATATGCAGCGCGGTAGGACAATTTGCACTTATCGGGATTGACATCGTGTTACGAGGTAGATTTGTTCACGTTCATTTATTCGTAAATAAATTAGTATACCTAATTCAGAATTCTAACACTTCATAAATGAGTAATCATTGAATTACGTTTTTTTAAATTCAATTAATCAATTAGTAATTATTTCAGAAATTAAATATCAAAAATTAATTATTCAAAAAGTAATTATTTCAGTAATTAATTTTGTTAACAAGTGTTTGAATGAATAAACATTTTTTGAACAGGTGGACTCCCAACCCTTCTTGGATTCAAGCTACACGATATGTTTCAGACTCTATTTGCGACGACGCAATCATTCATGGACATAATTGTGGCCAGTTTATTGTCAGTTTTGCAATTAGTTGGAATTTTATCATGGTACTTGACCTTTGCTGGGTGGAAAGTTATTCCCATCTACGTCTACGTTATTCTCCCAATTGTCGGAATATTCGTAGTTGTCTTGGTACAAGTTGTGTTTATCCCGCTAACCCAAATTTGGGAAGGAAGCAAAGATTGGATCTTCTTAATGAGATTGAGTCCTCTGTCCTTTCCGTCAGCTAGTTTTGGACAGTCATGCAATCCGAGAAAGTTTGTGATAAAGAAATTGAACACGTTGAGACCGTTCGCGTTGTATGCGGGAATATTCGATTACAGATTTTTTCCTTTGAGTAAATCAATCAAGAAAACGTTTATCGATACGATGCAGTCCTTCACGATTACGGTGCTCCTTGCAGCTCCACCCTTGTCCTGATTTACATACGCATAGGAAGGTATGGTTTGAGCTTTTAAACTAGAGGTTTTTTTTACATGCAAGGCTTGTGCGGACAGGCGTCTCGTTTTAAAGATTGAACGATACCATTAAGACAAAAGTTAGCGTTTCATTGAAATGTGAATCCATCCGAGGTAAATACATGTATTTTTTGATACCGTTGCAGCAAAATTGGTCAGCGTCCATATTTCAAACATATTTACAGTATGTAACAAAAGTGTATGTAGCTACGATGACGAAATTTGTATATCGGAACGATGCCGTAATATTTCAACTTTGAAACTCCGTACTAAAATGTTAAAACTATCTGCCGACAACTTCCTCGTCGGCGATTTTTAAATGTCGCAGGTAGGTCAAAGGTCAGGATTATTTTTTTGAAACAATTTAAGGCGTCGAAAAGAAAACCTGGATACAGTTTTTTTAACTTTGCAATATTTTATACTCAATGCGGCATGCGTTTTGAAGAATAATGAGCTTTGGTTGGACCGTGTACGATTTTTTCGACCTCCAATTTTTCGCCAAAAACAGGTTTGAGGTCTACACAAAATCGCCACCGAGGCGAAAATTGGGAAACTGAA